TTAAGTTATGCTCCGTAAACCATTTTCAGTATTTAGCTAATAGTGACCTTGACCTTTGACCTTGTGACCCCAAAATCAATAGGGGTCTTCTACCCAATATGGACAATCATCCCTATGAAGTTTGAATACTGTGGGTCAAATGGAACTTAAGTTATGCTCCGGAAACCATTTTCAAGTATTTAACTAATAGTGACCTTGACCTTTGACCTTGTGACCCCAAAATCAATAGGGGTCTTCTACCCAATATGGACAATCATCCTATGAAGTTTGAATACTGTGGGTCAAATGGAACTTAAGTTATGCTCCGGAAACCATTTTCAGTATTTAACTAATAGTGACCTTGACCTTTGACCTTGTGACCCCAAAATCAATAGGGGTCTTCTACCCAATATGGGCAATCATCCTATGAAGTTTGAATACTGTGGGCCAAATGGAACTTAAGTTATGCTCCGGAAACCAAATTGCTAACAGACGGACGGACGGACAGACGTACGGACGGACGGACAGACGGACGCCAGGGGGTATAACATAATATGCCCGAAATTCTTTCGGGCATATAAAAATACTAGCTACAATTTCATTCCGTGAAAATAAATTGTTCTTCTAGATTCTGTTGCATACTCATTTTTTCTTGAACTTAAGTATTCTTTAGTTGTTTTTTTTTGTATTTTTTAAAGTGACTAGAACTTTTGTTTGAATTCTTAAATAATCGTTAGTTACTACAAATAATATCCTTCCAATTCAATATTATTGATTTCAGTCCCATTGTCTACCTATTAAACATATGATATTGGTCAATATAATAAAATAAAAGCTGGTATAAAAGTTTACTTGAACTACAAATTTATTTATACTTACAAGACCATAATGACTGGTACCATCCACTTCATCAATTACTTTTCGTATTTCCATCCCAAAAACTCTTATAACATCATTGATACTGTGAACATATCTCAACAAATGCTGCCTTTTATCTTCAATCACCTCTGTCAATGCAAAAAAAACCCAATAGTTACCAGTAAATTTAGCCCGCTGGCAGGAAAATATTATAGATTAATACACATAAAACTGATCCTAAATAATCTGATTATTTAAACAAAGCATAACAGTTTAACAGATTTTAAGTCACACCGACACTAGTGTCTTTCCAGCTTTACTGGTGTAGGAAGACCTAAGGTGCCCAGTTGTGCATTATTTCAGGGCCCAGAGATATTTTTTGGGCTTATTTTTAGCCAATATTTGGTCATATTCCCATGAATTGAAAAATATTTTAAATGGTGTATTTTTTGCCAAATCCACAGGAAAAAAAATCCCAATTGAAAGTTACAAAATAAAAATAATGAATAACAAACTCTAAATTTTTTAAAAATATGGTCTTCTTCCATATTATGGTGCTTGAATGTTTGAAGATGCCATCCTAGACAGTAATTCTTTGCATTCATTTAATCACTGCAAAATTTAAGTCATGCATTTTCCCAAATTTTTAACAAAACATCGCTGAAATTCTCAATTCCATGGGTATGGGTCATGTTCCCAAAATCATGGAAAAAACCCTGCAGGCACCAGCAGGCACGTCTCGAGTTATACCATGAACCTGTATCTGTATTACAGGTTGTCAAATATAATCCCCACATGAAAATGATTCCCAGATTATAGAACACAAATTCTTATCAATTTATTCATAAATTCTATGAAACAATATAAATATGAAAAGCAAACTCATTTTGATCTTAGGAATATGACAAAGTTTATATTATTTTTGTACCTCCATACTTGTCACAGCAACTTTCTAGCAATTTGAAGACATCGTTTACATTTAAGATTCCCCTGGACATGAAAGACTGTAGAAACATACGATGAGTATCTTTGTAGGCCATTATTCTCACAAAATTAGAACCTGCTCAATCTATACTGCAAAAATTATCTGTAAACAATGAAAACAAATTATCAAACTATGTTGACAGATCACTAACATCAATCAAATTAATTTCTAGTGTGGTAATTGGTATGATATTAAATAAAACAACAATCTACCATTGCCTATCCAAAATTTCTGCAATGTAAGCGGTTTTCAGATTGATTCAATTATTTCTTTAATGAAATATATATTGGTAGATGCTATACACTGACAGGGATCATTCTTGGGGGTGATTTCCCCAATTTTTCTCGCATAAATATCACCATAATCTCAAAATCTGCTTGTCGTTAGGTCCTTGAAATACACCTGCAACAGTGTTAACTGTAAAAGCTATGTTTCACACTTGTCAACCTTATGCGTCATGCGCGGTAATGGTGTTACATTTAAGTTTTTTCATGTTTCAGTTAAAATTTCTACATGTTATTTTGCTTGATTTTAAATATTACAATTATTCTTACTTTGTTACTCAAAATTTATTTTTTCAACAAACAAGAACATTTAGAAAATGATGATTATTTCAGACATACGCACAAGTTCAATGGACTATTGTTGCTTTTTGCAGAAATTTGTAAAATGTTGTTCTGTTTTACGTAAAAATCTAGAGATTTGAAATATTTTGCACAAAAACTTTGTAGTATAGGTGTATGAATAAAATATGACAATTCTGACCAATTTTAACACTGGTCACATGAAAATATGCCACTACTGTGTAATAAGTGATGACGCGGAATTAGTGATGTTGAGTATAATATATACATTTTATTTGCTTTTTAAAGGTGTTTTGAGCTCCACATCCCAAGTGTCTGTGCATGAAATACCGAATAACACTTTTAAAACGGAAATGTAAAATAAAAAATGAACTATTATTTTAACAGACTTCCCCGTTTATAAGCTTTGCCTAAGTTCATATTAGGTTGTAATTGGTCAGGTCGGATATCCGGGCACTTTACTCACACCGTACAATCAAATGGGCAGACAGCGTCCAACGTCGACAGCTGTACCAGTATATACATGTCGGCGCACGAAACACAATTGACGGACGGTAAGTATTCATCTATTTCTAACATATCCCAACTGTGTTGAGTAAATCAATGTTATGGATTCATAGTCAACGTCCAAAGGAGCATACATTACTAACAAATTTCTGGCCCTGTGCAAGCTTTACTTCACGTGAATTTTGTCTGAAAATAACCACACTATCCGAAGAGATGTGGCATTTTTACTTTTAAGTCACAAAAACTTATATTTTCTCATGATAATAAATCCTTTTATATCATACGATTCGTAAACGTCAACATTTCGTCATTAAATATTCCAAACCATACCTCCAAAAACGCTTTTCTGTTAAAGTTATAGGGTATTTAAGTTGGAGTGTCATCAAAATTTTAGTAACATCATCAGCTGTTCACCTCTTTTTAATGATAACATCGACAGCCATTCATCAGCAAGAATGAATAACACTGAAAGCCGTTCAAGGAAACAATTTTCAGCGCCATTGTGCTACAGTAATTTGGAAAGAATTAAACTTTTAACTCCATATCCAGAGCTCCAGATAGCATGCGTATAAGCGTAAAATACGCATAGAAAATCTAAAATACGCATCACTTTCAAAATTCGTGCGTCAAAGTTACGCACAACAAAAATGAAAATACGCTTGTATGTCAAAATTTAAGCGTAAAAGAATAGAAGTGTAAACATTTGATATTCAGATAGAGGATGTTTTGAGCATAACAAGAGGCCATGATGGCCCTGAGGTCGCTCACCTGTATATAGCCCCCACCCCCCCCCCCCCCACCCCCAGCCCAATTTTTACCCAAGGGCTTATATTTGTTTATTTGAACAGACTGAAGATTTTTAAGTTTTTGCTATACACATATAAGGAAAATCAATGACCCCCCCGGGCGGGGCCAGTTTTGACCCCAGGGCTTTTATTTGAACATACTTGGTAGACACTCATTAGAACATGTTTCATGCTAAATATCTTAGCTCTAGTTCTTTGAGTTCTTTAAAAGAAGATTTTTTAAGTTTTTGGGGCGGGCCAATTTTGACCCCAGGGCTTTTATTTGAACAAACTTGGTAGACACTCATTAGAAGATGTTTCATGCTAAATATCTTAGCTCTAGCTCTTTGGGTTCTTTAAAAGAAGATTTTTTAAGTTTTTACTATATGCATATAGGGAAAATCTATGACCCCCTGGGGCGGGGTCAATTTTGACCCCAGGGCTTTTATTTGAACAAACTTTGTAGACATTCACTAGAAGGCGTTTCATGCCAAATATCTAAGCTCTAGCTCTTAGGGTTCTTTAAAAGAAGATTTTTATGTTTTTACTATATGCATATAGGGAAAATCAATGACCCCCTGGGGCGGGGCCAATTTTGACCCCAGGGCTTTAATTTGAACAAACTTGATAGACACTCACTAGAAGATGTTTCATGCTTAATATCTTAGCTCTAGCTCTTTGGGTTCTTTAAAAGAAGATTTTTAAGTTTTTACTATATGCATATAGGGAAAATCAATGACCCCCTAGGGCGGGGCCAATTTTGACCCCAGGGCTTTTATTTGAACAAACTTGGTAGACATTCACTAGAAGATGTTTCATGCCAAATATCTAAGCTCTAGCTTTTACGGTTCTTTAAAAGAAGATTTTTTAAGTTTTTACTATATGCATATAGGGAAAATCAATGACCCCCGGGGCGGGGCCAATTTTGACCCCAGGGCTTTAATTTGAACAAACTTGTTAGACACTCACTAGAAGATGTTTCATGCCAAATATCTTAGCTCTAGCTCTTTGGGTTCTTTAAAAGAAGATTTTTTAAGTTTTTTACTATATGCATATAGGGAAAATCAATGACCCCCTGGGGCGGGGCCAATTTTGACCCCAGGGCTTTTATTTGAACAAACTTGGTAGACAACTCACTAGAAGATGTTTCATGCCAAATATCTAAGCTCTAGCTCTTAGGGTTGTTTAAAAGAAGATATTTAAAGATTTTTCTTTCGGTTGCCATGGCAACCAGTCAGTTCTGCATGGAATTAAATTCTTTGAACAATTTTTAAAGGTGACCACCAAAGGAACATTCCTGTGAAGTTTGGATGAAATTGGCTCAGTGGTTTATGAGGAGATGTCATTTAAAGCAAAAGTTTACGGACGGACGCCGGACGGACGGACGCCGGACGAAAAGCGATCACAAAAGCTCACCCTGTCACTTTGTGACAGGTGAGCTAAAAATACAATATATTTCCATTTTATTGCATTGAAAACTAAAAGTTCTGTTGTCAACAACGCATGTTAAAATCGAAAGTAGCAGGAAGTACAGAAGGGAGGTAAACTCCCGTAGATCAACCTATAAAATTTTGCCAGATAATCATCGTAGGAGTTAAGATAGTATTAAGTTTGTTTAGGCATCTATTGACATGTTTTATGTCTCAATATAAACAAAACAAGAAACATGGCAATGCCATGAAACCAGGTTTTCAATAATCACCATTGTAGATAAATATGTTGTATTTGAAATACAAATACAAGCAACAAACAATGTAACTATGTGCAATGTAAAACATGAATAATGTAGGAGGAATTGCCACAGAGGAAGTGTTCACTATAATTATATTCTGTATAAGGAAAAAAAACAAAGGGCCATAATTAAATAAAAATTATTCAATCACACAAAACCTAACAACATGCGCCAGGGCACTGGATGACAAAGCTACTGTGAAAGTTTGAACAAAATCCGTTGAGAAATGTAGGAGTTCAGCACAGAAAAATTTTTCTCACTATATACATGTATTCTGTATAAGGAAAAATAACAAAGGGCCATAAATTAGGTCAAATATTATCCAATCACAAAAACCCCGACAATGTGCGCCAGGGCACTTGATGACAAAGCCTCTGTGAAAGTTTGGTCAAAATCTGTTGAGAAATGTAGGAGAAGTTGCGCATGGTAAAAATTGTTCACTATATAATCTGTATAAGGAAAAAAAACAAAGGGCCATAATTAGGTCAAATATTACACAATCACAAAACCATGACAATATGCCCTAAGGCACTTGATGACAAAGCCTCTGTGAAAGTTTGGTCAAATTCCGTTGAGAAATGTAGGAGGAGTTGCGCACAGAAAACTGTTCACTATATATCCTATATTGGGAAAAAAACAAAGGGCCATAATTAGGTCAAATATTATCCAATCACAAAACCCTGACAATATGCGCCAGGGCACTTGATGACAAAGCCTCTGTGAAAGTTTGGTCAAAATCCATTGAGAAATGTAGGAACAGTTGGGCACAGAAGAAATTATTCACTATATATTCTATATAAGCAAAAAAACAAAGGGCCATAATTAGGTCAAATATTATCCAATCACAAAACCCCGACAATATGCGCCAGGTCACTTGATGACAAAGCTTCTGTGAAAGTTTGGTCAAAATCCATTGAGAAATGTAGGAACAGTTGGGCACAGAAGAAATTATTCACTATATATTCTATATAAGCAAAAATAACAAAGGGCCATAATGAGGTCAAATATTATCCAATCACAAAACCCCGACAATATGCGCCAGGTCACATGATGACAAAGCTTCTGTGAAAGTTTGGTCAAAATCCGTTGAAAAATGTAGGAGGAGTTGCGCACAGAAGAAATTGTTTACGCCCGCCCGCACTTCCGCCCGCCGACATACCTCAATCTAATAACCAGTTTTTTCCTTCGGAAAACCTGGTTAAATATATTTTAATTTCTTTCACTTTTGTTGTTGGAACAAAATAACATGTTTTTCACCTGCAGTTTTGTATTCAATATTTTCGTACCCAGTCTACAGTTACGGACAATTTTCTCTCAGACCAATACTTTTTTTAAGGAAAGATAAAAAATCTTGTTTATTTTTCTTTAATTCTAATTTCAACTATAATTGTTCAAACTGGAGCACATGATAAGCTACATGCCAACAGAAATAATGAAAGAAAAATATTGACTCCTAGAAAATATACATGTATTAATTTCAGGGCTTCCACTAGT